TATTATAGTTGTCAATACTACATATTCCCTTTCGAGATTGCAACAGATACTTACCACCGTACACGATGGATTAGGGCGAATATTCAAAACGCAGTGGTCGAGAAATGCGTCCATATTTAAAAATCGCCTTAAAAAAAATTATAAACGATATGAAGCATTAGCAGGAGCGACTCAGTCGTTATGTAGATATAGAAGACACTGATGTCAAGGATAGGCTCCATGGCCCGTTAGATTTTGTTGAAAGAGAGATTCTTCGTAAACTTCGACTTCTGATAAATCTTCATAAGACAAACAATTAGTGTCACAGAAAGTAATTTTAATAGTAATAATAGTTATATTTAATGCCAGTTTACAGACATTGTCAGGGAAGCGGTAAACACAAATCCGGCCAACAGTGAAAAAAACTCATTTCAAAAAGAAGTAACAAGAAAGTTGATAGTGGTTTTTATAGTTTGGAGGGTTGAGGAGAAAAAACCTGCTGACCACAAAATGCGGGCAGTCAAGAAGGAAAAGGTGGCACTGTATGGGATGTTATCAGTCGCCAATTCTTTTCATGAAGTTGGGGCTGGTCCGAACAGAAGCGCCGAAAAACAGCTGTTGCTGATGAGACCGGCCATAGAGATCAGAGACCACAACCGCCGTCGCTACGGTAGAGTCGATCAGTGGATTCAGCACCCATAATTAGTGGGAGTTTTTCTGAATGCAAAAATCGAATAATAGTTCTTCCAAATAAAGGCAAATTTTGCAAAGTTTTCACATTCCTGGGTAATTTATTCTAAACATCAATTGCATTTACAGAAAAGAACCGACGATATTTAACGGTACGTGCAAGAGGAAGAAATAAAAAGACCTCACGGTGAGTGTTACATGGGGTGTGAACAAGATGTCTTAAAGTAGTGAATGGGTTAAAGGTACGATTATATAAAAGCTTAAATAGTAAAAATAGTCCCTTTTATAATCTACGAAACCATAAAGGATCAAGGCCTGTAAGCCGGTAGCATTCTTGGTAAGACAAATGTTGGTGTTCCAGGGTTAAAACTGTCTTGGTAAAAAAATGTTGGACGGATGCTATCTTCGTCCGCTCAGCAGCACGCATGAGGCTAAGTAAAAACGAACAGTTTTCCAGGCCAGGGCTAACGTACATATTATAAAGGCGCATTCTAATGTCTTCGGTTTTAAAGTTTCTGAGAGTTAACCCGGTCGTTCTGCGAGCTTTGGAGACTATCAGGGCACAGTGCTCCAAGAGATTGAGACTCTTGGAGTATGATACACCCAGATCCTTAATAATCTCACGCGTATTTATGGCGTGACTGTGAATACTTAGTTGAGGTTGGCGATATTCGCCAACCACCACGTGCGGCATCACTGGGCAAAGACCAGTAGGTCGCTCTCTAGGAGCTCAAGCACTATGTCACGATCTGCCGGCTTATATCGATATGTAATTTTCAGATTCTGGGCATACATGAAGGGCCTGCTATTCTGAAATACATATGGTACATCGTTAACAAGAAGGCAAAATAAAAGCGGGCCGAGCACACTGCGCTGCATGACTCCACCTCTCACACATGTGGGGTTGTAGATATCATTGGAAATCTTAATTTGTGTGCGAGCGTCCAAGTAAGAGGATATTAAATTCAAAAGTTTGCCACCTATTCCGAAAGAGGACAGTTTCAAGAGAAGAAGAGCATGGTCAACACGATCAAAAGCCTTAGTGAAATCGACATATACTATGTAAAATGCAAAAACATTGTCCCTAGATTGGAGAATATGGTCAAAGAAAGAGAGCTAACAAGTGTCACAAGACCGAGCTTTGAGGAATCCATGCTGTGCAACATTCAGTAGATTATTCTCTGTTAAGTGACACATCATCCTATCTTTGATCAATGTCTCTAAGATCTTCGAAACTGCGGAGAGGGTGTTTATTGGTTGAAAGTCATCAAATAACGTAGATTTGCCTTGCTTAGGAATGGGCAAAATGTGTGATTACTTCCACGAGGTAGGATAAGTTTCACTTTCAAGAGCAAGATTAAATATCTTGCATAAGGGGGTTAGGAAAATCGTATTTGCATCGGCTTTTAAAATGCTTACTGGGATATCATCAGGTTCTGGACTATAAGATTGACGAAAACGCCGAATCGCAACAGCCACATCCCACAGAGTGAAAGTTATAGTTTCGAGAACTGTCCTGGTCAATGGCTGGATGGTCGGAAGCGGAGTGGTCGAGTTTTAAATAAACGTTTTGGACAGGAAAGCATTGAAACTACCAGCGGTTAACTGGGCATCAGTTATAGGATTTCCGAGAGCGTCTCGGAGGGTGGGATGCTGCGTCCTTCTGCGAGTTCCTACTTTTTGGGACAAAAGTTTCGAGACATTTAACGAACGGTTTTCAGTGAATTGGACGTGTTCGGCTAGCTGTTTTTCTTCGGACAATCTCTTATCCCGCTCAAAATTATGACAAATCAAGGTCAGATTGGAAACGTCGTTTCGAAGATGGAATCGACGAGAAAGTCTGCGCAACCTTCGACGAAAGGGCAAGGGTAGGAAAACCTTATCCTCGACATTAATTATTTTCTTACGGGAGACGAAGCGAGAAATAAGTTGATCCGAAATTTCGTACAGTTTTGCAGTGCAAACATTGACATCCCAAATAAGAAATAAGTCAGTCTAATAGTGGGAATTAAGGTGTGTTCATAATTCGGTAGAGCGAGTCGATCGGAAATCGTGGAAAAAGTTATTCTTTGGGGACAAGGTTTTGTCAGCCTCGAGTGTTAACGCTGAAACAACTATGTCATGGTCTGACTGTTTCGTCGGAGGGGCTCAGCCTTCATTACGAAAGGTTTTAACTTCAAAGAAGACTCCTTGATTTGAGCTACTTGGCCATTTTCGATTTCCAGCCATTTCTTCACTCCGCTAGTCCTCCATCTAAATTCTGCCCTCATTTCTTTCATTTTCAGACTTTATATCGGTTAATGGTCCAGCTGAAAACACTTCTTTGCGCGAGAACTGTGGAACCATTTTATCTTTTGACAGAAACGATGCCCGGGCTTCGTTTTGTAAAATAACTTTTAAGGGCCTTTAAGATACCTGTGTGACACGGAACCCGGACTACCAACCATAGTGGTGGGTTTGGCGACGATACTGTGTTTCCTGAAGGTCGCAAGGCCTAAACTAAGAAAATTCAGTTTCTGTTTGGAGATCTTGCTGGGCGGAATCAAACATAGAGAGAAAAATGAGAGCGGACTGGGAACTTTTGAGACAGTCGCCTAAACTCCCGATTGGCCCATGTCAAAGCTTGTGGAACGCTGCTCGGAAAGGATGGGGAAAATAAAAAATTAATCAGGTCAATGCCAGAATAAGTGCTTAAACTTCTATGAAAAAAGAGCCATCTGAAGACCTAGAGCGGGAGTTGAAATTCCACTGACCAGCTGGTACTTCTGAACGTCTTTCTCTTCGCCCCACCGCTGGACTGAGTCAGGTACTGATTTAATAGCGAATATTTTCATTGTTCGTGTACAGTTCTTTCTAAGGAACTGAGATGTTATCAATAGGGTTTTCAAAGGCTTTGCCTATTATCCTTACCAAATAACAGAAATGAACTGAAGACATCCAGTCGCAAATAATTGCTAGTAATGAAGAAGACGAAAGCCTCCATATGGCCGCATGTTACATACTCGATTTCCCTGACTGGATAGGTGCATTCGCTCCGAAAATCGAACGTTGCCTTTGCGAAAGGGACAACCACTCACACATAATTGACCGTATTACACCCAGGAAAATTATCCCGGACAGCTGAAAATCCTACATAATACAAAAGGAAACCCAACTTTAGTCCCAGAATTACACTTACAATGTCTTCTTTTCCTTCATGTCCATGGACATACCCACGTTTTCAGCCCCCATGTTTTCCTTTTTCAACCAACTTTTTCTTTCGCATCAACAAACGCGGTAGCCAGAGGGACCCAAATTACTGAATCTTCCCAGAAAAATAGTAGTACCACTTAATTGAGAAAAATAGCATGATCTCGCAACTGATATATCGAGATTCGATTACCTCTGTTAAACTCGGATATGGGTTCGCACACAGCATCTGGCGGCGAAATCAGTTCAGGATTACTTACGTATAGTGCTCAGAAATTTTTTCCCTATAAAGGGCAACGGCAGAATTAAGGCATACGGGCGTTTACTGACACAGTTCATGCTATTGCGGTTGTTTGCCATTACTAATGTGGTTAATATTACGTATTTTAAACAATTCTCCTTAGAGGTGGCCTGAAAATTTTCGCTTGGGTTTGTCTTTCAGCTTTTACAGACGTTTTATCCCGCTATTCTGATTTATTTCTTCCTCGATGTCGCTTGGAAGTCTTTTTTGACTATCCCTTATTCCCTTAGTTTAAATTTCGAGAACCTGTCGTATCGTTTTGCTAGCTACTTGTTATTCTAGGCTGAAATACTCCGACATGTCTCATGGATCTCACTTTATTTAGATGTGGATTAGTGCCCGTATAAGCTGCAGGAGGCATTCATAAAATATCTTAATGACAGCGGACGCTAACACGGAGCCAGTTCCTTGATTCGAAGTTCGCGATGTAACCCTTCTGGGCAATTTGGAGAACACATTGGTTTTGTGTCTGGTTTGTGTTTCGCATGTGATATCGTAAGAAAGGAAAGTAGTTGGACCCAGAAGAGTCGTTAAACTTGGGCCTATTCGAATCCTTCGCTGTTGGCATGAGTGACAGTCGTTTACCTTTTGGTGCTAGTGGCGGTCGTTCGTCAAAATGCTATCAGCTGTTGAACGACTGAGATCGGATAATCCTGTTCGTCTTCTTCCCGATATTACTATCACAACTCCAGAAGGCAGAGAATTAGAATTCGATACATACATATGTAATTTTGAAAGGATATTTGCTCTCGAAAAACAAGATGATTGCGTTTTTGGTCAAAATACTGCGAGAGAGATGTTACACACGGCTGTCGGCGTGATTGCCGTTAGTCTTTGCTCAATGGACAAGACAACCATTTATGCAGTTTTGGGAAAGAAATCTGCGTCAACGGTTTTCGTAATTTCTAAGGAGGAAAATTGTGCGAACAGAATTATATCTGACCGAAAACCGGTATGATCGATCACACATATTATTGCTTAAAGTAGAATAAAGACACAGTAGTAAAATCAAAGGAGAACAAGCAGTTTATGAGCCGGATAAGAAAAGCATTGTTCGCATTGAGGAATGCAAAAGTTGGTGAAGACGACGAGTACGAATCGAGTTGTGCGAACACATCAGAATTTGAGCTTGTATTTGCTTCCGATTTGTCTGAAACTACAGAAGAAGTGGAGGACGAACCTAATGGCGAAGAGAAAGGAGGGGTAGAAAATGAGGAGAACTTAAAGGAAGGAAAACAGGAAAATGAGGATGAGCCGGAAAGCCGTAACTCGTCCCCATCTTCGAACTCCAGTGGTTCTGGGTCAGACAATGAGTCAGATGATACTGAAAGTGAAGAGCCTGATTATCATTGCTCTCGTGGATATCATACTTTTGTCAAAGCTTGTCTTCAGCGAAAGCTTGTCATAAGGGAAATGATCGAACAAAATGTTTTTAAAAGAGATAGCAACGTTGCAATACCCCTTATTGGACCGGAACACAGAGTAGCCGCTGTTTGTACGTTCCACACGCGTGACATAGAACCTAATAAACGTATTGTGCATATTGTTTTCATGACTGTTAGGAAGCACCTGCGCCGACTTGGAATTGGCTCAAAGGTCCTAGACATCCTCAAATCAACAGACATATCTGGACAGTATGATGCTGTCGTGGTTCATGCTGATAACAATGCCGTGGATTTCTTTAAGAAAAACGGATTCTCTGATGATCTTCTTATTAATCGACAGTGGACGGCTATTGCTGATGAGTATGTTAACTGTGCACTCATGACCTACTTCCCGCCGATAAGCTGCAAGGAAAAAACCTTGGAGATAATTGACGATGAAATTTCTGATTGGTTAAAGAAATCTGCTGATTTAGAAGAAATTCAGTTGACTCTTTTACGGCGACTTCGGGGCGAAATTGCACAACTAAGAAGAGATCTACGGGAAAAGGTAGTTTCGTATCAGAGATACCACATTTACTTTATTGTCCACAAGTAGTGCACGCAAAACAGCCGCAATCGTTCGGAAATAACGCATGACATAGCGACTTAAGTTCTGTTCACTTTTCCACTAACTTCTATTTCACATGGTAAATTCGTGGCAAAAATAACTTTGCACGAACACATTTGTTACTGAAACTTATAGCTGCACTGGGCAGTTATGCCGGATTTAATTTAACTGGCTAGTCTTGGTGGCTTGGTCTTATCAGCTTATTACCCAATAGGTTGTAGTAGGCGTTTACCAAATGAATAGGTTTTATGCTTTAAAAATTGCTGTATCCATCACTATTCTTAGGTCGGACTAAAGGCAGTATAGAAGCTCTAGTTTCATATGCTGTGTTTCTTCAACGAAATGGAAACTGAGAGAGAGAGGACGAGTAGGCTCTACATCCGCTATCATAAGTTAGAGCGCTTCTCAGTAAAGACACTGTTTATTTTCTTCCACGTACATTCCCAAGGAGCGTCTCACCCGACGCTGTTTGTCTTGCCCGACAGCAAACAATTTTGGCTACGTAAAGTTCCCTGAAGTGAACAATAAAAATACTAGTTAGTTATTATGACTCCCTTTTTCGACTTACCGTCAGTCAGGTTTCGATGCCCTCCAAACTTTATTAAAGTTGCTTTAGGATAAGATTTAAGATTGTTTCGAACGTCGGCATTTCGTAGGCAGCGACCCACATGGTTCACAGTTTTTCAAGTATGTATGTTTCGCATATTTTCGGTCTGAGTATTTGCAACGAACGTCTACCGCTCTCAAAAGTGTGCATGCTATTTGAAAAGTACTAACTGCCATTCTAATGTGAGAGTTGTACACAGCCTGAATACTAGATTGAAAAACGGAATTTCTTATTGAGCGTGAAAGCAACTTTGTTTAGACAGGCTTTGTAAGGAAATACTGCACACAGACCATTGTCGAACTCAGCACTATCGAATCACGTCTTGAAGAAACCTCACGGATCACTTCGAAAATGGCGAGCCATTGCAAAGGCTTCATATTTTGGGGGATTTTCGACAGTTACCTCTGATTATAGCCCCGGATGTACGGTTTAATCCCTAGGAAAACGCACTTGAGTGTCTGCCGATTGCCGCTGCTTCTCATTCAGCCAAAGTCTCCGAAGTAGCCAATTGACCTGCTTACGGTTGTGTATTTGACAAAGCAACTTGATTGCTGGATAAGCACTTTGCGTACCAACGATTTTGTTATCGCTAGGGAATTCCTAAAAAGTCGAAGCCACACATAACATGGGGAACCGTTTTAAGGAGTCAATGGAATTGGAAAGATCAAAGGTAGTAAAACATATATCATGCGTCACAATGACGATTCATTGTGTGTGCATGAAAATTCGTTGAATTCTAAGAGGGCTAGCAAAACTGGAGAGCTCTTATGTCTTATTTTATTGAAACAGCGCAAATAAGAAAGGAGAGTTTTCAGCTTCTTAGAACGCGTGGGAGTACTGAGCCATGTTTTTTGCGTTTTCTTGGCCCGGACGACGCAGCTTACTTGTGTCACGAAACTTAAGGTCATCAACAAACCCGAAAACCCGAATATCCTCGCATGCATTCAGGCCACCTTACGTAGAATATATGAGGGCGGAATACGATGAGACAGTCATCCACGCACACGAAATATGCTACTGATTGCATTTGGGCATTCCGAGACCATTAAGCAAATTTCGATAACAGTCAACACAAATGTACGCGTAAGCGTAGTGACAGAATCCAAAAAGTCATGCCTCGAGGACTTTAATTTATACCCACAGCTTTTGAAGCCAGTGCCTCATATAGCTTCAGAACGCCGATGAAAACCATGTGGGGATATGATAAGAAATTGGAAACTACTTATTTCCAGTTATTTTTAAGAAGTTGATAATTTTCAATCCAAATTCGAGCGCGAGTCTCGACGTCCACCTGATTGACTTTTAATGTTCCTTAGAAGTCACGTTAAGATTTAATCTTGAAAATACGAAGTTCTAAATGCCTGTCATTCTGCATTTTGAGGAAATCCTGCAATAAACTACTAAGGAATTTTCGAAAAGTAGAATCTAATACCATCATCAGATTCTATTGCCTGCCTAATTTAAAATACCAAATTCTTTCGATCAGGATCTCATAATTGAGAGATATAAACGTCAGGTGGCCTACCAGGCAGAGGAGACGAACAGATACCGCCTACGCCTTAAATACATGGGCGAAAGTAAAGAGGGTGCATGGTCCCCAGTCAAAACCGGTCGCCTTCCGTTGCACCTGGATGCCCTTGATCTAAGAGTGACATCCGGATGCGATGAAATCTACCACCAGCTTGCTGGAAACTTTGCAAAGTCCAAGGCTTTAACTCCAATCGGCGACCTCTGAGGCGTGGTAAGTTTGCTTTTACTAAGTCGTTTTTATGCCACCAGACCATAGAAAAAGGGCCTAGGATGGTCTAACGATGCGAATAACACAGCTCACCCCTATTATGCTCTGCATAACTGGCAACATATAGCATCATAAAGATGGAACTCCAGTCATGTATTCTTGCGAGCCGGTGGAGCGAGCATTTACTCATCTGCCAGCCGTTGACTGGTCATAATGGAGAATGTTCGAAACACATTCACTGGTTTTGAGGAATGCCGACAAACCATGATCGTAAAGAAAATATGCAACTGTTGGTACCCGAATATTGTGCGGTCTGTAAATACGTTTTGGATCTGCAAGTTAGAAAAGTTATGTGCATGCATATGTATGTTTCAAAACAGATCAGAATGTGATCACTGGACAATGCTTTCCCATAACCAGAGCCACATAGGGGCTTATCTACCCATATATAACTTTATTAGTAATTTTTTAGAATACAACCCATCTTTTTGATGATTGTTGTCCACTTTTTTGCCTCTATTTAGATCTACGCCAACGCGGTGCCCCTTACCCAGGACCTCAAAGAAATGTAGATTGCGCGACTTTTTAGGACAGCCTTAAGATTAACCCTTTTCTGTCTTTATTTTTGTTTATTGCTTTTAGTTACTTGCAACCAGCCTGTTAGGTCGGATCCTCATTCGTCTTTCAATAAAGTTTTGACATTCAGCCTTCCCCTTTAGAATGAGTCATAATAGCTACTTACGGTATGTAAGTAGGTATTTTTTAACTCTACCAGAACTGCACGGCTATGGTCTTCACAATAGACACTCGTTCTCAGTCCTAAAGTGGTTGTTTCAAGCGGACATAATTACGGACCGCGCCAATTGCATGACTTACGATCGAGTAAATAATGTTAAAGTCCGGAGGAGTATCATATAAATCAAAGGTGAATGTCCCCGATATTTTAGCTGGAAAATACATATTTTGCGACTACGACTCCTTAAGTGGAGGAGACCTCAAACCTGAGTCGTATATTCTTACAAACGCTCTAGTCACGAGGATTAACTTTGACATTGCGAGGAACGGATTATAGAAACAGAATTGGAGGCTTATGTGTATGCACAGCATCAAACGCGTTTCGGAGAATCTCGGTCAGGACAGAACCCTCGCCAGTACCATAGGCTTACGATAAAGCGGATTATGATTGGGTTTCCACATGCCTTCCCAGATCTGGATGGAAATTTTGTGTGGTTTGCTGAAAAATTCGGGTCATGTTTGTGCGAAAATAGGGATGATTGTCTACCTGTGGACACTAGTTGCACACGGGCGATGAACAGACTCATGAACCTGCCTCATGCGGAAAGCATCGTTTCCCATCAATGAATCGCCCAGACAAGAGCATATTAGCCTCCGTAAAGCCACTGAGATCGACATGGTGAACTAGATCTTCTGAGGATTCGCCAACAGACCCGCTTTTATGTTTAAGTCAAAGAAAAAGTACGGTGTTGACAGGGATCCGGATACTGAAAGGTCAGGTTTACGTTGTATTATAGCGTTTTCCACAGTCGACGTTCATCACTTTTATTATCACTATGCCCAAAGCAGTCAAACGGTTTATAGTCGTTACAGGGCTTGAAAGTACATTTTAAACGGACTGTAAAAGCCGAGATTTCTAAACAAAGTCCCTGGAAATATATGTGACACAAGGGCTTTCACGTGTTTGTATTTGCCGACAGTTCCCAATTTCCCCAAGTTCACTCTGTCTTGAGGGGACTATCAGATGAACAGCCGAAAGACCAGAAGATAGCTAAGTTTGTACAACCGAGGGGACAGGACTGATATAGTTTGCCTGGACGTTAGCCTGGGGAGGGGTGTGTGTAAAGGTTTCTCAGTCAAAAACTGTCCGCAGAGAACGTTTGAATTTGGAACGCTATCTGGGTTTCTGTATTTGATTGCTTTCCACTTATTTGGACGGCTTTTGACGGGATGCCGGCCAGCGGTAAAGCAGGTGAAATTTATTACGGACTGCTTGATCCTACAGTTGGCATAAACTCTGTTTAAGCCATATTATGTATGAGTCAAGGCCAGATTACTCATGAAATAAACTAAATGAGTTCAGTGTCTGTCAAGCACCCTGGAAACATAGGCTGATTCAACAGCAAATGGATAATAAAGGAAGAATGACGAACATACCCGCGGGAGTTGCGATGCGACGCAAGAACCCCCACGCAGTTAGGAACAAAATTATTATTTGAGTACTTCGAGTTAAGTTAAGTATGTCAAAGTTTATGGAATCGAGCATGGGAATATATACAGTAGATGTGCTAACTCATGAAATGTCAACCGAGATTGCGAAATACGTTTTCAACTCGAAAATATTAATTAAGTAGGGTCGTAAAGCTAATCATCATGCAGCATAATTCTATAATAATTCAGTAACCTTAGGCTGCCGGGTTTTCAACGAACCACACCCTGTAAAACGACTAATGTAGCACGAATTGTTATTGATTTTTGATGCATCTACAGTGAGTGACCTATCTCATGAAATGTTGGCTGAAATTCTGAAATGCGTTTTCGATTAGGAAAGATTACTTGGTCGCGGTTGTAATACTGATTATCTTGCGGCATACTCTTATAACATTTCGGACTCAGCAGGATGTCGGCTTTTAAATGCATTTCTATTCAATCTCCTGTAGAAGGCTTACCCGACAAAAAATGACTACTTAAGTAGAATGAATTTTTCCCATTGATTTTCGATGGTCCTGCATATTCAAATATATTATATATAAACCATGAATAAAAATATGTCTCCTTTTAGTCAATCAATAGAGAATCCCGTCTTCTTTATATTTTATGTTTGAGGAAGAATTATATTTAGGCTTTAAAAAAGTTTCTAATTTTGCGACTTCTTAAGACCGCGAAATGTCAATTCACATAGCATCGTGCCTGGCAATCTACCACTGCTTCTCATGAAATGAACAACATGGTCCGCATCCATTGAAAAATCTTATAGATTCTGTATGATATCTTTTTAATGGCATAGAAAAATATGTGATTTTCTTTAAGCGGAACGCATGCACCTTGCAGACTGAAATTACTAAGCGCTAATGCAACGAATGATCAGGCTCCAAATTATTCGGCAATTGGAAAACTTTTTTTAAAACCTAATTATAATTCTTCGTTAAGTACACAATATAAAGAAGACACGATTCTCTATTGATTGACTAAAGGAAAGCTTATTTTTATTAATGGTTTCTATAAAATATATTTGAATTTGCAAGACCATCGAAAATCAATGGGAAAAATGCATGCTACTTAAGTAGTCATTTTTTTACCGAGCACGCTTTCTACAGGAGATTGATAAGAAGTGCATTTAAAAGCCGACATCCTGCCGAGTCCGAAATGTAATAAGAGTATGCCTTAAGATAATCAATATCACAACCGCGACCAAGTAATCCTTCCTAATCGAAAAGGCATTTCAGAATTTCAGCCAACATTTCATGAGATAGGTCACTCATTGTAAAAATCCAAATATATTTCACATACACACTCATCTGTTCATTTAATAGAAAATTACGTCTTCTTCCAACTTTCTGCTTGCAGGAAAAGTATTGGTTTTAAAAAAGTTCCTTATTGTGAGATTTTTAAGATCGTGAAATTCCCGTTTATAAACCATCGTGTCCCTGCATTTATAAGGTTTCCTTGTAAAGTCCTCAATATGGTTTAAGTCCAGTGCTAAATTTTTGAACCCCGTATGGTCTTCTTACAATGCCGTATAAAAATTTATGATTCCCCGTACGCAGAAAATATAAAGCTTGTAGTTTGGAAACCCTGTATATAAGTGAAACGGCAGGTTGGGTGGAAAATTATCCGGTAATGGGAAAAGTTTCTTAAAATGAATTTTACCTTTTCTCCAAGTGTCACATTGTAAGAGAACATAGTTTTCCAACAAATGAGTAGAAAAATGAATAATTTTACATGTTTTCTATGATATTTATTTGTGTTATTTAGGGCATCGAAAATCGGTGAGAAAAAATTATGCTATTAAAGGAGTTATTTTTTGCAGAATGCAGTTTTTGCTGGCGGCCAAAAAGAAGCCCTTTCGAGAGCTAACATCCCGAAGTATCTGGACTACTTAAGTAATCTTTTTGAGTCAGAAACGCATTTTGCAGTTTCGGTTATTATTTCACGTGCAATCACATCTCACCGTATCTACAGGCACCAGATTCCAGGGAGTATCTATTCCAGAGTCCTCACTTCAACTTAAATTCTAACATTAGCCTTTATGAACTTAACCCTTCCTTCCGAATCTAGGACAGGGTTACGTGTGATACGGGAGGTTTATATTCCTGGGCCTAATCCTTTTATAGGAGTTGCGTGCCTATTTGCCTAAACTGATATTACTATCATTTGAGATAACTTAAAATCCGATACCTCAAAATATGCAGCTCCTCTCCTGTCTCAAGGACTTATTAGTAGCAATTTATTCCAAACTATCTTTCAATATATACACTGAATGTTTCTTAGAGCTAACTGGAGTAAATCTAAGGCTTTTAATTAAAACGCCTCCTACCTTTCTTGAAATATGATGTACAGGCGAAATTTACGATAGTAGATTACACAAAGAGTGACGTTAGCTGCGTTTGCTGAACACCAGATAGGACTGTTGCAGGCTGACCTTAGGCAGAATCACTAGATCGGAATTTATCTCACAAGGCGACCGAAAGTTATGCCCGATTAGTTACAGTCTTGCCACCTGAAAAGCAGACGGAACACTCGTACGTCTGAGAACTGAACATGGATTTCACAACTTGGCTAAAAAATCTACCAGTCTCCAATATCATCAACAACACCGACACTGTTGTTCGTGTGTTCCTATTTCTAATCGCCGCCGGTCATTTCCTCGTACGTTCGGCTGGTAACACAGACAGACAAATGTATGCTATTCGCAATCAAGTTGTATGCATGTCCCTTCGGCAGGCATTAGCTAAAGCTCTTTTACACACAAAGAAATACCT